AAAAAAAAAAAAATCGTTTGAATGTCAAACGAAAATGAAGTGTATTTTTGAGAGTATTATATACAAACAAACAAAAAAAATTTTAGTTATTTGAGTTTGTCATTATTAGTACAAGGTTCTAAGTGAGCATAAAACCAGAAGACGTGAAGGCCTATGCTCAGTAGTGTTGTCATGGTTTGCTCTCGAAATTAATCGATTTTGAGAATTGTTGCCTAAAATTTTCGTTTGAGACGGGAATATTGGCTGAGCATGAAATCGAAATCATCCATTAATTAGATGTGATTGACAATGAGCATACAAGTTATTAGAATATTCAATTGTGAGTTGTCCCACATCGTTTATAAGTCCACCAAGTGGTTTTGACATGGATCCTCACTTAGGCTTCATCTGAATTTTTCCTGTTATAGTGAAGCACCTCACTTGAACTTCATCACTCATCGAAGAGTAAGCAAGCTCTAAATATGTATTAGACTAATAATACCAAACTTAATATCAAACTTTAAAGAACAATGTGAACAAAAATATGACATATTAGTTAAATATGCATTTTTATTTATAAAAAAATAATAAGTTTACTCATATGACAATTAGGCGGACTAACACACCACACCCACATTTTACTTTATTTAATTAATATGAATATATAACTATTGGCCGAAATAAAATTAGCAAAACAAAACAATACAAGTATACAACATGATTAAAATTTAAAAGAGTAGAGAGAGAGAGACCGATCCAGCCGGTCAAATAACTGTACAACGGTTATATTTTTACCTTGTTATCAACCGGTGAAGAGAAGGACCCCACAACTCCTCAACGGTCATAATTTCAACGTAGCTTTTCATATGGAAACTCACCTATATTTACTACACCTCTTCCCCACTTCTTCCCATTCACCCCTTTCTTCCCATATTATCATTACCATATTTAATTATTTCTCTTCCCCAAAGCCACCGGAATATTTCCCCTCCAAACATCTTCGATCCTCCGAAAATGAACAAATTATTCGCCGTCGTTTTCTTGCTCTTGTCGTTGCACCAATATTCCGGCAGTGCACAGTCCCTTGGCGCGCCTTCCCCAGCACCGTCCGGGACCCCGGCTACCCACTCGCCGACGCCGGTACATTCTCCGGCCAACCCTCAAGCATCCCCGTCACAGCCTCCGTCGCGCTCACACTCTCCAACAATTTCTCCGGCGGCGAGTTCTCCACAAACCAGACCGTCCCCTCCTCCGCTACAGGCTCCGGCGGTATCTCCTGCAGCGCCTAATCAATCCTCCAGTGTGTCGCCTTCCCCGACTCCATCTCAGGCGACGACCCCTCCGCCTACCCCGGTCAGCAGCCCCGCTCCGGCGAGTCCCCCGGAAGCGGAGGTTCCAGCTGAAGCCACTCCGTCGGCCGGTGTTCCTTCGAGTTCTGCAACACCGTCGGGGTCGCCGGATGAGGTCCCGCCAACCGGCAGCCCGCCGGTGAGTTCGGCACCGGAAAGCGCACAAGGGCCAGCAGCTGACGATAACTCCTCTGCCGCCAAATCGAATTCTGTTTACGAGGTTTCAGTTATTCTTACTGGGATTGCTCTTTGGGCTGCTGCAGTTTAAGTACCAAATGTGATTTCTTTTCTCTTAATTAGCAGTATTTTGTAGTGCCATGGAGTATGTATCATCAGTATTAGTACAATATTTAATATTCTTTTGATTCTAAGATACAAGTTTTTGGGCTTGATGATTATGTTGTACCTACTGAGATGTACACACTTATTTTTATTGAATCTTCATTTATTGAATCTTTTAATCTTCAATTGAAAGAATTTAATTGAAAAAAGAGAAATTTTGACAAGAGTTGTAAAGAGGAATGGTATGAATGGAAAGGGGTTATTATTATTATTGGGTCTAGCAGAGTTGGCCTAACTTGCAGTTGAGAACACCTGCAGATGGTACAATTCTAGTTAAAAGCGAGGCTGGTCTCGCAACCATGCTCGAAGCTTTTATGTAGCTCTCCGAAGTCCTGTTTCCGGAAGTCGTGAAGTGGGCCCCGTTCATCAGTAGATCACCGTCCGATCTCCAATTCCACTTCTTCCACTCGTTGTCTCCCGGAGGGGTTTCGTGTTTAGTCACCTGATTTTTAAGACGAACGATAATAAAAGATTTCCATTTGTGTTAGCCTCTGTTTACATCAAATTATTCTCTGTTTTTTTGCTGCAAATTGATAGTTATGATTCGTCCGATTACGAAATTGCACGGTTATTATACCTCTTTTGTATCACCCGATGCAATGAAAACATTGCTCTGGCTATTGATCGTAGGATTTGCACTTCCGCCAATCGCGTACATTCCCCAACCAGTGTACACATTGTTCACAATGTGGAAGTACCCATGTCTACACCTTCAACAAAGGTACCCACATATGTTACAAAGGCATGGCAATTCTTAGCACAATTTAACCAATGTTCTTTCCTTTCTTTCATCTTTTCTACATTTTTTCTTGGGCTTTTTCTTGTTAGTTACCTGGGAATCCTCTGGATCAAACCTTTTCCGAAGTAATTAAAAGCGATGGTGACCTGCATATTCCGGTCCGCCACATAATCATCGTTGTGCCCCATCAGCATAACCTCGTTATGCTCAAACATATAATTGTTCGAAATTGTTATTGCAGTTGACCCAGAAACTATATCGATAAGCCCGTCACGGCACGAAGACATCGTACAATGGTCGATCCACACATCACGAGCCCCAAACACCGATATTCCATCTCCATCCGATTCTCCCCTCAACTGATAATGACCGGGCCTATCGACCACGACTGCATTTCCTGCGGGGACACAATTATGTATATAAATACCATGTATGATGACATTAGTGACGCCTTGTATCGTTATGCAAGGCCCGTGAGATATCTCGATGCTGAAGCCCCGGCCGTCGATGGTCTTGTAGGAGTTCATGATAAGCTCTTGGTTTAGTTGTATTGTCATGTCTCGGTCGAATATGATCCAAAGAGGAGCATCTTGGATGACGGCATGGCGGAGGGTGCCTTGGGTGGGGCTCTTGGGGTCGTCGTTGGGGGACGTGACGACGTAGAAGTCGCCGTCGCGGCCGCCGGTGGCGTTGCGGCCGAAGCCAATGGCGCAGTCGGCGAGGACTTTGCGGTTGGTCTCCCATTCAGGGTCGCACCGCCAGCAGTCGTCGATCGGGTTGCCTGTTCTGCATGACGTGAGTCCCCCCGGGGATGGGGCCTTCATCCATTGCCTGCAATTGGTAGCCGAGTCGGATCGTCAATTTTAGTTTTTTGGTAGAAAGTTGACATGAGGAACACGAAAATGTGATTTTCCTTTTTCTTCGTGTTTTAGCTCACTGGTAAACCAGGAAATGACTACAGTCCCGTCACAAAACCATTTCGTCAGTAAATAACCCACAGAATGGTTCACCAACTAAATTAAACAAAAGAAATGAAAATAATTGAAGCTATATAGTTAGAAGCATGCATGAGAGGGTAGTTACGTTACCATGGGGCTGGTGATGATAATTGTGTTAATGAAGAGAATGTGTGAGCGTGTGCTAAGAGAAGAAAGCAGTTGAGTATGATTTTTGACATTGCAGCTGCTTAGCTTAAACTGTTGCTTACAACTCTGGGATAGAAGTAGATTTTGGTGGATACAAATATGACGCTAAATCGAGCTACTAAACAGGTGGCAATAAATTGAAGTTACTAAAAGTGGTTGTACTTATTTATGACAGTAAAACCACAGCTGCAAAAAACTGGTGTTTTCTATACAAGTACAACTCTGGCATATTTATTGTACATGATGTTGATTTTCTTGCAAAGACGAAAGAAAATGAAGTATTTTGATAAATATGTGCCTGATTTTTGGAAAGTTGATCTAAAGCCCATACACGATGTGGGTTGGAACGGGACAACTCAAATGCCCGAACCAGCCGTATTTATGAAATGGATTCTACTCGCACCTGTTGTTCTGGATACGGGAGCTAAGGCTGGCCCCTGCCTGGCCTAATTAATTGTCACCTTTACTCATGTCATGATGTGCAATTCCTCCTAGAACCGACTTGATCTCCGAAATATCATGCAAAACATGTCGAGCGTGTTTTTCGGTGGTGGACTTGCGTCAATCAAGTCAGTTCTCAAAATATAAAGGCTAATAAATATGTACGAGTATTGAAAAGCTAGAGAGAAGAAGATATCCCCTTTCTTACCCTTTTGTAGGAGAGTTTATCTTATTGCCCAAGATCTGTCCGATCTTGCTGTCCAAGTACCATTGTTGCTCAAGATCTGCCAATCTTGTAGCCCAAGTATCCTTATAGCCTAAGGTCTATCCGAGACTTATCCTTGTTGCCCAAGGTCTATTCGAAAACTTATCCAATCTTATTTCCAAGGCTATCAGAACTTTGTTGGACATCCGTAATATCAGTCATCCGTATCTACATTCACCTTCAGAGGGCGTATATCGTCTTGGCGTCCTTGATGACCTGCAAAACGCCGGGAGTGGGTGTCAGTGGAAGACACTCCGACGCTCAAGTTAGTTTACGTGCAACAATGATATGATGATGATGTCTTTTTGCGCGTGTATATGTATATTTCTAATAAAAGAATTTGGAGTACACCCTTATATAGCTAGGGTTACTTCAGAAGCAAGACGCCCAACATAGTAAGAAGTCTTCCCACATCCAATTGAATATGCCCTCACCGTTCGTCTACTAGATGATATACACTTCTCCTATGTAAATGACTCAATTACCTTCGTCTGTGCGAGTCTATTCTGGTATGATCCTAAATCCTAGAGACTTCACAAGTACTGAGGTCGTCGAGGTCATCATGCTATCCTCAATCCTCATCAGCCCACTCGAGGTGGCCCTCCTGAAAGGTAGCCGAGCCAATAGATTTCACCGAGCTTTGCATGTTCGATTGGGACGTCTTGGACTATATATCCTAAGAGAGGGCACCAAGCTCAACTCTGCCCGAGGCCGCTCCCCCCAACAACCGACCTTTCATCGCCACACTTTATAGTACGATCGACCAACTAATGCCAAGCTGAGGCATCGCCGGGTCACGCAACCTACTTTGTCTAGCTATACCGCTACCGCAACCATCATTTTGCGAGCTCATTTATGGCTAACGTTAATAGCTAAATTTAATCATTCATTTCTCATCACTCGCTGAAAATCAATTTTGAGAAAATAATTTTTTTTAACACAATTTAATTCAACTCGAAATTTAACCATAAAAAAAGCAGTCAACATCGGGTCAAACCCCAATTTTTATAATGGATTTTCCAACAAAATTTTAATAATTACCTTACGTTAAATTTTTTATTCCCTTCATTTATATCTATATCTATATAATGGACCAATCCTCATTGTCATAATTGGCATGATTTTGAGCGAGAATTTTTTTTTCTATATTTGGCATTTAATTAATATTTATTTATTAACAAATATTATGCATAAAAAACATAATTAATATTTATACACTCAATGACTAATACACATTAACTACAAATTGACTTACATTGAAATTTTGACTATAGATTTATTAGAAATATTTTCAATAAGATCTTATATCAATTTAATTGTAATTTATTGGCATAATTCAAAAAAAAAATATTATGGAAATTGATTTGATTAAATATATTATCATCTATGGTTTTAGGTGTTAATTTAATTGATTATATTCACTATTTAGAAGTACATAAATATCTAATAAAATAGTTAGAATAACTATGTTTAAATTTAATAAATAATTTAAAATATTAATAAAAGTTTTGAAAATGTAGTCAATTTAACTATAAAAAGGTACATCTCCATTGAATATATCATATGCAGTGATAATACTATTGAAAGTTTAAATAATTTACTAATAAAAATAAAATTTGATGGTCGGATACAATTTAGAATTATAAATTCACCTTAGAAGTATGTGTACATTAAAAAACTATTTAATTTTTAAAAATATTTTTTTTCTTATATAATATTTTATAATGAAAAATAAGTTAATAAAAAAGCAATGTATAATAATTTCAATTATAGCACTTGGTAGTTATGGAAATGTATTACATGTCTAAAGATTTGAATAGATACTATGTAACTCATTATATAGGTTGAAAAATGAATTAAATAAATAAATTTAAATAATAAAAACATGAAAATAAAAAAATTAACCATAAAAAATTTGTGTGTTGCATAAGAATTAAAGTCACTAAAAATTAAAATTTATTTATCAAATTTTTTTAACATTTAATGCACTTAATGATTATAGCGGAAAATAAATATTATGAGTTAAATGTTTGTCAATCGTCAGACAATGTGAAAATTATGAATTGTTAATAAAATTATAAGACTGTGATAAACGAGAATTTTATAAATACATACAATTAATTTGTATGTAAATATCATATGATTCTACACATTTATAATATTTACTAAACCTATAAAAATGAAATTATATATTAAACAGTCAAAAAACTACAATATATATATATAGAAATTAGCATTAACGGTAAATAAATAAATATCATATTATTACTGAATAGAATATCGTGAAAAATATAATTTCACATTGTGTTAAATAATTTTATAACATTTAAATAAAAAATATTTTTTGTATTGCACCACCCGTGCATCGCACGGGTATCAACATTTGGTTTAATAAATGTTTCTGTTTTTTTTTTTAAAGGAAGGAAGAAAATAAAGTAGACGTTTCACCAATAGAAATTAAAAAAAATGCACACTTTTTCAATTAAACTATTTTCACTACGTGACAATTGACATTTAATAATAGTACAAATATTCTGTTATATTCCGTGCCTTCTTTTGCCATGATTTTCCGGCGGGAGTTACGCATAGGTTAGATAACAAGATCTCTCTGCATTAGAAATACTTGCGTTTTGTATATTAGCAAAGAAACATAACATAACGTACGTGTGATGTTTTTTTGTCCGTTCGTGCATAGAAATAATATATATATAAGGTGGGACTTTTCCCGTAAAATAAATTAGAAGAAAAAACTTAATTAAGGTTGGAAAGTAATTGCAAACGTCGTCGTATCACATCTAGACATGGCCACGATTGGCCCCGCCCTTGAATCGGCCCGCCCTAGCCGGACTTTGAACCTGCCCAGAATCCCTTAAAGGCCGATTACGGGTCTTGTTGTACTCCTTTCGGACTTGTCGGGTTGGGTCGGTTCACGGGTCAGACTCGAGTTTTCTGACGGGTCACAATTACAATTTTATTTTGTTTTTTTTTATTTTTGTAAATCGGCGCGCGATTGATTGAATCGCCAAATCGGGCCGATTCAATGAACCGGCTGATGCAGACCCTAGTAAGATATTGTCCCAGATATTGTCCGCTTTGGGCTACTTCCGCCACCCGCACGGCCTTGTTCTTGGTTGGGCTTCAATACACACCCACCAAAATGCGTCTTACTAGTGAAGGTATCCACATTCTCATATAAGGCCTGCTTCGTTTCCTTTCAAACCCGATGTGGGATGCGCTGCATCATCCACCCCCCTTGTGGGCCCAGCGGTCACCGCTGGCACATGGGCTGGCTCTGATACCAACTGATGCAGACCCTAGTAAGATAGGGTCCGCTTTGGGCTACTTCCGCTACTCGCACGGCCTTGTTCTTGGTTGGGCTTCAATACACACCCACCAAAACACGTCTTACTAGTGAAGGTATCCACATCCTCATATAAGGTCTGCTTCGTTTCCTTTCAAACTCGATGTGGGATGCGCTGCATCACCGGCCCTTAGATATAGTACCCGGGCTTTGGCCACCTCTATAAATTACATCTTATTCGTTTGCATCTATACTGTCCAAAAAAGTTTTAAGTAATAATTACTCCGCTAATTATTCTAACGAAATTAAAATCCGATCGCATAAGACAACTCAAAAGCTACTTTTTTTGCTTTGCTAAGTCTAACTATGAGATTGTGTTTGAAATATCATGTCTCAATTTATATTTTTTTTTAAAGCTACGACAGGAACCTTTTTTTTTTTTTTTTTTTAAGAAATAGTTTTGGCAACCAAGTGTGATTTTAGGTAGAAATCCTCAAATTACAACCTCACCTACCCAAAATTTCAATGGACAGCCAAAATTATCTTAAAATTTAATAAAATTAAATGTTACAATTTGCATTGGTGAAGTAATATGTTTTATTTATTTATTTATTTATTTTACTCTGTGACATTAACATTAACATATGTTCTATTCTAATATTTTTTTTTTCAAATTATTTATTTTTGTCTGTTCATTAAATACATTTTTTTATTGTTAAATTAGTTAATTATTATTTATGACGTCACAAAAACACTTAAAATTTCATACACAGTTGATTGTTTTTATCTTGTAATTGATTTAATATTTGGCAAAATGACATTTTTGCAATCAATATGAAGATTCATATGTAAATTTATAATTAAAATAGTTTACACTTACGCTTATTAATGATAAAATTTATAAAATATAAAATGCTAATTATCTAAATTATGTATTTAAATATTATGTACACACATATAATTTATAAATTTTATTTGCATACGTAGACAAGATTGGATAATAATTACTATTTGTTAACGGTATCAATTAAGCATGCGCATTGCGAACAGTACGCGCTTAACGGTCACAACAACACAGTAGCATTAGTTGTATAATTAACCCAAAATTACTAAGTCATTTCTATAATTAAACTCCCTAATCAGTCAGTCGTACCCTAAATATCCATACTTTTTTGTCTTCACCGAAACCCTAAATTCCGTTCCTCCACTCCTCTAACAAACAATGCAATTCCGCCGGCCCTCCTCCGCCGCGGTGACGGCCTTATCGCTCTCTCTTTTCCTCCTCCTCCTCCTCCCCTCCACCGCCTACGTCGACAACATAACCCACATCCTCGCCGGCCACCCAAGTCTATCCCTCTTCAACCAACATCTAACCACAACGCACCTCGCCGCAGAGATCAACGGAAGACAAACGATCACCGTCTGCGCTGTCGACGACGACGCCATGAATCTCCTCCTCGCCAACTCTCCCTCCACTCCCACTATAAAAAACGTGCTCTCCTTCCATGTGCTCCTCGACTACTTCGACCCCAAGAAGCTCCACCAGCTCGCCGGCGGCTCCGCCAACGTCACCACCCTATTCCAGACCACCGGTTCCGCCACCGAATCCTCCGGCTTCGTCAACATTACCGACCTCACCGGCGGCAAGGTCCGGTTCTCTCCCCTCAACTCGCCCAACATCTCCGCCACTTTCGTCAAAAACATTCAGTCCATTCCGTACAACCTCTCCGTCATCCAGATCTCGTCGCTCATCGCTTCCCCCGAGGCCGAGGCGCCGGCACCGGCGCCGAGCCAGCCTAATCTCACGGCCCTGATGTCGGCAACCGACTGCAAGATCTTCGCCGAGACGCTGCGGGCTAATCCTCAGGCTCAGAAGACGTTCGACGACAACGTCCAGGCCGGATTAACGGTTTTCTGCCCCGGCGACGACGCGATGAAGAGATTCTTGCCGGAATATAAGAAAAATCTGAGCGCGCACGATAAGGAATCTCTGCTCGAGTACCACGGGATTCCGATCTACCAATCGCTCGCGGGATTGAAATCCGGCAACGGAGTATTCAACACATTGGCCACCGATGGCGCAAAAAGTTACAATTTCACGGTGCAGAACGACGGCAGCACTGTGACTATCAAGACAGGTGTCGTGACGGCTAAGATTGTTACTTCGCTAGTGGACGATCAGCAGCTGGCAATTTATAAGCTGGACAAGGTGCTGCTGCCAAAGGAGCTGTTCAAATCTGATCTGGCTCCGGCGCCGGTGCCGGCGCCGGCGCCGGCTCCTTCTCCCGAAGCTGATGCAGGGTCTCCGAAGCCGGCGAGGAATCACACGTCGCCTCCGGCGCCGGCTGCTCCGTCCGATTCCCCATCGGATTCCCCGGCGGATGCGCCAGACGGTGATGCGGCGGATCAGACTGACGATAACGGCGGGGACAGGTTTAACGGTGGGAGATTTGGTGCTGTCGTTCTGTGCCTCTGTTTTTTTGTTTTACAATTACAGCTGTGATTTTTGTTTTACTTGATGATTATTGGGTTAAACTTCTTTTGGGGGCTTATTTTATTTTCTATTGTTTTTTTTTTTTTTTTAATAAATCTTCTTAGGCGTGGTAATGTGGGAATAATTACTCTTAATTTAGGCAGTGATAATTGTTTTACAGAATTGTATTCATACAGTAGAGATTTTTGTTAACCATTTTATTTACCTAAACGCGCAATATATTCAGCAGAATTAATAGTCAGCTCAGTATGAAAAAAAAAAATAAATAAAAAAAAGATACGCTCGACCTCCTCCTCAGTGGACATGGCTAAACGGACCCGAATGGGTCGGGTTGAATCGACGGTTGGACGGCCAGGTGTTCTGTGGAATCGGACTTGGCCCAAGTGTGAAGGCAAAGAAGTGTCGGCTTAAGAGCATCTCCAATGGTACATAGATTGCTCTCTTCCATTGCCACCTCGCCTCCAAAATCCAATGTGGCACTCAATGATTTTAGAAGTCTTTCTAGATGTAGAAAGACTTCTAGACATCTTCCATTTTATATTATATTATTTATTTTATATTTATATTTATACCAACCAATTATTATATTATACGTGTCAAATTATCCCACAATTGAGATTAACCATTGGAGACAAAATAGTTTTATTTCATTTCTCCACACCATACATCTTAAAATAGACATTGAGCCATTGAAGATGCTTTAGTGACCCAAAAAATAAAAATAAAAGTACAAAAGGATAGTAATCTGGGCTCAACTATTAAGTGGCCCAAAAAAAAAAGAGAAGCAGGCATAACATAATAGCCCAGCCCAATAACTAAAGAAGGTAACTGCAGGCTGGGAAAAGAGAACTGCTGCAAAGAATAACTTTAATTACTAGAAATAGCATATATATTATAAATAATAATAAACTGGATAAATAAGTTTATATGTGTATAGTTTGTTCTGTATATTTACATTTTTACAAATATTACAGCTATGAGTATTTAAGTATAATCCAAGCAAAATGTTATGTATAATTCTATAATGTTGTTTGTTTGGAGTATGATTGGTAATTCGTAAAATGCCAAAATAGTGTATAATATCTGAGGGAGCTAAATGCTAATAGCATAATTTGTAACTAATATAAGTTATGTGTTAAATTTAGACAACTATTTCTTTTTTTT